TCTCTCTCTCTCTCTCTCTCTCTCTCTCTCTCTCTCTCTCTCTCTTTTCTTCTCTTCTCTTCTCTTCTCTTCTCTCAGCTTTTCCTTCGTATTAACTTTTTCCCTCACCTTATATAAGTCTATCAAATCAGCAACAGTTTTTCAGTCATTTAATATTTTGTTTGATACACAAATTAAACAAAAACTGTTTAGAAACTTTTCGTTTTATTTTCTTCTGTCTCTTTTCTTTTGTATCTCTTTTCTTTTGCATCTCTTTTTTCCTAACGACTTTATTTTTACGATATATAAGTCAACATTTGCCCTATTTCCAATCAAATTAATTCTGTCATTCTCCCTGTTTACGTCATTGTTTCCTGTATTCAAATTCAATATATTTGATGCTAATTAGATTATTTTTGCAAAGAAACACTTTTCAGGGGTTTCATCATTCTGAACCAACATTTCTAACTTTCTCTATATTTGATGTCATTTGAAAATCAGTTTCTCTTAATCTTCACAAGGTTCTATCAAAGGATATATTAATTCTAACTTCTAATCCTTTCCCCTTTCTTCATTTATTTTTCAAAAGCTTATAGTCAGTCTAAAATCTGTTAATGTATAAACAAAATTTGATTGCACGTAGGGTACTCTTTTTTCACTCTGGATTCAGATTCAATTTCAAATTTCTTTTGGCGATATTTTTAACACGGATTCAATTTCAAATTTAATTTTTTATCTGCTCTTGAGTGCTCTTTTTAATATAACACTAGGTGACAATGAGGCCTTTGGCTAACGTAATTAAGTTTTTCTCCCATATTGTTATCGATGAAAAAGCGAAAAAGAACAAAACATATGAGATTCGCACTAAGAGCACGCGGTTTGCACGAAAAATACATACACCACAGCTAAAAGACATAATTTAAACTAAAATCTGATTCAGCCAATGAGATTTCTGCATCAAAATGCTTTATTCGTGCCATCTGTCTATTTTTTTAGGGCGAATGTTTGTAAGGCTTTGAAAAGTGATTGCACTTAAAGATGTCTTTTATGTTGGCCGTCAATATCATCGCTACTACCCCTGCTGTTTTCTTGTGGCATGTTCGGATGTTTACTCAAACAAACTATTGCAGAGCTCTATGTGTTTGAAGTGTGTTTGATAGGCCCTACAGAATCAAGTGCTATCCTAATTTCCCTCTATCCGTAAAGTTCACATTTGTTAGTGACATTTTCTTCATTGGCTCGTCAAATTGATGGTGTATATTTCATAAAAGAGGCAGCTTAAATCCAAGAAGTATCTTAATGTAGACTGAATTTGACTTATATATCCTTGTCTTTCTTCGCTTTCTTGGAATAAAACCAACAGAAATAAAAGCATCGTGACGCTTCGAAAAATATTTTTGGCATATTTTTATGGTACAAAATTTACAAGTATAAGCAAGTAAGTTTTCCATTTGGATTGTCAATTGTATATCAAATTATACCAACGACAGGTGTGCTGGAACCTATTTGTATTTCATTCATTGATGAGGGAGTCATTATCAACATTGCGATTCGCGTAAAGCACAGAGGCCAAGTATGGAGCCGCTTAACACATCAGACTTATACTTCTATGAAGATATGTACACAAACGAAACTTTTTTTCCGAGCGGTTTTCCTTCGAAGAACACCGTCGTGGCATGGTGTGTTTTCTTGTCGCTTGAAGCACTTCTCATCACCATCTGCAACTTGCTGACAATCATTACTTTCGCTATAAATCGACACTTGCAGAAACGAAGCTCTTATTGCCTTATAAACCTGGCAGTCGCTGACCTGATGGTTGGTTCAGTTGCTATCCCAATGAACGTGTATAATGTAGGACTAGTGTACGGATTTTGGGGAGTTTTTATGGATCAAGATTTATTGATCAATATTGTGTATACCAGCCTTGTCCTTCATGTATTTTCGGGTTTGGCGTCACTTTTTGCCTTGGTATTGATGTCAATGGAGAGAATGTTGGCAACAGTATGGCCGTTGCGACATCGTACTTTCACAAACCGATTGTACATCTTTGGCTTCAGTATCCAATGGTTTATAGCCGCTGCTGTATCGGCTGTTTGGACCTGTAGTCTGATATACCTAGATCTAAATGCTTCTCTTTACGTTTGGATACCATCGATGTTTATATCTGTAATAGTTATCTGTGCATCGTACATTGCAGTTTTTATTGCAGTCAAACTTCAGAACAAAAAGCACCAAAATTCGCTTCAGAAAAGTACTTTCCGCAAGGAAAAGGAACTGGCGGTAACGCTGTTTATAGTCGCAGCAATCTCGCTGGCAAGCTGGGTTCCTTATGCGGTGGTCGAAGTAATCAATTTCAGACAAGAAATAAGTTTACCATTCAGCGTCCTTTACGCCGCAATACTGCTCGCCAACTTAAACTCTCTTATCAATCCAATTGTATACGTGTTCCGAATGCTGTCATTCAGAAGTGCCTTGATCCGGCTCATTCTTAAATGTTCGCGTGATAAGCCTGCTAGAAGATCTCTAACTAATAGCCGTCATGAAAATCCAACAAGCGAATTGAATTATTTGATAGCTCAGAGACGACAAAGTCGACCCGCTTCTTCTATAAGGAATGCAACATTAGTTTGAGGAAAAATTAAACGCAGAGACACTGGATATCTAGAAAAGAATATATATTAACATCAAAGTCAAGTTTTCTTAATCCTGTTTATGGAAATATGACACTTGTTCCAGTTTCCGGTTTGAAAAACTATCCACACAATACTCAAAATCAGTAACAGAAAATTGTGGTTAATTTTTGCTAGACTTTTAGATCATCGCTTGGCAGAGCAGGGTAAAAAGAACAAAAATTAAAAGAAAGAGTGCATAAATGTTAAGTTTAATGCTTAACGATAGAACTATTCCTTTCAAAACAACACTTTAAATAATGATTGAACAACTTGGAATCGATACAGTTCTGAAAAAATATGTTATATTAGTTCTACAGCTCACGAAATGTAAATAAGAAAATAAAGGGAACGAAATGCGTTCTTATGAAGTTATTTAAGCTGTTTCATTCAATTCCAAGCAAAATATTATTTTGAATTTCGGGGATATTCTGTATTATTTGCCGTCTATTTTGATAATATTTAATCGAAAGTAAAAAGTTAAGCAGGACACATTAAGTAGTTCTTCGTTATTGCTTTACCACCGTCAGTCTAACAAACAAATATTGCTTTTTCGGTATTAACTGTGGCGCTATCTTGGATTCATTTAACTGACACAAACGCAAATTATTTAAATTTGTATTGTCATATCTGATCGGTTTTTGTTGAAGATCAAGATAAGACAAAATATTGTACAAAGGTGGCCAGAAGAGTGACTCGTGCTTTGCGGTTTTGATTTACTTAGGATTTCGAATTCATTATAAATAAGGCTATTATCTTGAGAGCCGTATTAGTAATGAAAGGTGTTTATGATATTTTGTTCAAAGTAATGCGATCAATCATTCGCGCGCATCTTTTCTGCGCACGCAAAATCGACCAGACGACAACATTTGCATCTCCAAATTTGCCGCTAGATATCTCCTAAATAATGTCTAGTACTAGTTTTATTTCAATACAGGATGGAGTTGACTACAGTAAATTGAGAAGAATGGTTAAGTGCAGTGGCCCATAAGGGCCATGGAATTTAAAACATCTGCAAAATAAATATTAACAATTGGGAAAAAAGGCACATTGCATTGCAATAGAAGACATTTCTGTGCAAACAAACAAACAATCCTACAAACAAAAGAAATTCGCACTGCAAATAAAAGGAAGTCGTTTTGAGGACGCAAACTTAACTTTGGTCAGCGGATGGCTGTTGCATGTTCAAGTACTCTACATTTTCATTCTATTCTCGACTTTCACATCCCCATAATCCTTTGCGTCTTTGGGGGGTAACCAGAGGGTAAAAACCCACTTATTTTGCTGAAGACTGATCAGACAATGTTGAGAATACCTCGTTTGGTATCCAAAGATAAAATGAAGAAGTAAAAAACAGAAAAAGATAGAAGCTTGAAGACGTTTAAGGTAAATTTTAAAAACTTTTTCGTTAGTCAATACATTTTCTGTAAGACCAAAACTCTTGATGATCTGTACACGCAAAAATAACTTAGAATAAACTGATAATCAGTATTGTACAGATAAAAGCAGGTATAGTATAAATTCAATTAAGAAACCTTTCAATTTGGTACAGTTTTTTGATTGGTTCCCCCCCAAAAACGCAAGGCATTATGGGGATGTGAAAGTCGAGAATACGAATTTCTTTATGACAAAAATAAAACACACCATAGAAATTGGGCGTGATTCATTTATGCGCATAATTATCGGCTGACTATTTACAGGTTGTAAGCTCTCACTTTCACTTAAATGTCGAAACTATTATCCCTCATTTTTCTATTAAAATGAAAAAGCGTGTACGATTTTTATGTACGAATTGTTTCGTCTCGTGAATAGAAAACGTACGCGCGCATTTTAAGTGTGTTTTACAGAAATTTCGGCTACCGAGAAATGTCATATCACGTAAAGACACGAATCAATATGACGATTTTACTTGTGTAATCAGTTGATATGGTTTTGTTAGTATGACGAAAATTGATTTACATTACAGATTTATACTGTATTTAGTATGGATCTTGATAAACATTTGATTAAGAAATTAAACGCAAGAATTGCTGGACTTAGGACAACAATTCACAATCTTGAAATGTTGTCGTTCTAAATTTGATTTTTTAATTTATGAAATGTTGTTTATCGAGGAATTAAAACCAATCCTGATCGTCCAATCAGACTCAGTTAAAGCAAAACTTTTTGTTTGAATATGTACATTTATTATACGACTATTACGTAATTTTACCTTATAAGGTCAAGAGAACTCGCAAAATATGGCACCGTATTATGCTAGT